ATGTTCGCAAGCAATAGTTTTTCACTACCGTTTCTACTATGGTTCTGACGCTGAATGAAACCGATGGTGAAATGACAAAGGCAGGAATAACGTCCGAGGCTTCTATCCCTTGGAAGTAGTTGAGTATTGGGCCTGTAAGACGTTGGTCGCCTCTTTCGGTGTGTGTGTGTGTACTCACCAATCGTAGTGTGTGGTGGGATTCTGCGCTGCATCTTACGAAATCTGTTAGTGTCTTATAAAGAAGCTTTTGCTTCGAATAGAATCGTTTCGTTAGCTCCTGTTGGTGTGTTCCCTTGTTTTCGCGAACCAACTGCACAGAGTATTTGCATTGAGCTACGTACTCTAGCCAATTTCCTGCGCTGAATTGTTTTTGTAAACGCACTCTGTCCGATTCCTCAAGACCATAAATTTTGTGTTCAGCTTCCCAGAATTATTTTGGTTTGAAGGGACGGTAGCAGTCTTCTGGCTCTGGTTCTTCTGCGACTATCGACGTAAATGTTTTCAAGAGTTTTTCCCAGGCTATCTCTAAGGTGCAGTCAGTCATGGATGTCCAACTAGCATTTTCAACGAATGCGGACAAAACTTGAGAATTCGTAATGGATTACATTTCTTAGGACTCTGCATCGGGGTATTCGGCGTAGCAAATGTAATCGAACAGTAAAGTCACATGATCGCTTCGGCTCAAACGACTGCATATTTTATCGTATCAACCATGAGCTCTTTGCTGGTGAGCACTAGATTTAGCATTGATAGCTTACTCGCTGTTCTGAACCTGTTGCGAGCGGTGACGTGGTTGTATATGGTTGTGCTAGATAGTAGCTTTTGCAAATGGGCTTTGTACCGTTCTCCCTCGGTTACTCGAGTTTCCAGAACATGAGTATTCAGCTCCTTGGGTCCACTAGACTTCTTCCCAAACACACACTCCGTTTTATTTTACGCCTAACTGTCAGTTTGGTTACATTATGCCCGGCCTCTAGGTAGGATTCTGGATTCCACCGGGTTTATTGATCTCTCGGCTATCCAGTGCCTTGTTTTAGTGACAAACGATAGTCTCCTAAGCAGACTTCCCCACATCTTGCGTGGTGGCCGATGTGCGAATCCACCGGAGCTAGATGTTCTAGGATAAGAGATTGTAAATTCGGTACACAGGGTATCTTCGTGAGATGAACTGATTTTATTGCTACTCCGCACGCTAATGTTAGTTCACCTCAACACACGGACTGCACCCAAACGGCTGTTCAAGGGTATTCAGTCAACTAGCGATGGATTCCACCCTGGAGCTGAGCACAATGTTCACTCTAGTTTGACGTGATTGTCGTATCATTGTCTGCTGATCTGTGTACCAAAGAGCTAGAGGACATGATGGTAAAAATTAACGTACGTGAGTCATTATTCCTAGTCACTGACACGCAACCGACGCCAATAATGTGCGGGTATGCGTACATCCTGTTGACCTATTTGTCTTAAACCGCGAACGCTTGACGCTGTTAGCTAAACAATCAGCTTGACATCACAAGGAACTCTTGACGACGGGAGTCCAGTAGGTCATGTTAGATCACTATAACTGACAGGACTCTAATAGTGCTTTTATCATCATCTAAGTTTGGGCTTACAGGAGATAGGTTAGTAATGGTGATTGGCATTGTTATTATAGAAACGGGTCTTAAAATAGTATGGAGGCATCAACAGCGGCTCGCTCCTTCTTACCAGCCCTACTGTGTACAGTAGATAAGGGGACACCTTCGGAGCAGCGCATGTAAGACGACTGTCGTTGTGCGCGTGTTTGTTTGCTATCTGGGATCCCGAACCTAGGCAGGAAAGCGATCAAGATTTTCAACTATAGTTTTTAGCTCAATAGTCTTGTTGTAGGCAAATGGTAATACACCGGTTTCACAGAACTGGACACTATCCACCTTCCGGCCCCCAACCTGGCCACCAAGAGCCTGAGTTCATCCAATCTCTAACCATTGATTTTTTTATTATTCATACTGTCGTAACTGCGGCAACAATAAACATTCAGGTATTGCGTCCAACTCTACGTAATTAAAAGAACTAGCTCTCTGCCTTACAACTACATGGACCAAGGGCGACGCGCAGTGATGACACCACATTGTGGGAGCATTATAGTGGCCGTCACGCTCGGTAACCGTATCTGACTAAGGATATCGATGCGCTAGCCTTCGATAAAAATGTTCTTTATTATCGTTATAAAACCGCTTGTCCATACATCTAGGGTTTTTTCGACTTTTGGATTGGCTCAGGCATTACCGGGCATAATATTCTGATTGCTGTTTTATCAAACCTTCTGTTGAAACAGTAGTCTCAGACAGACAACTTTCCTTAATCGTTGTTGCAAAACACTGGTGACTGACTGGCTTTTGGTCTAACCTCTCTGTCCCAAAATACTATGATGGACACCAGGCTAGCGTGAAGCGGCCGTCATCCCTATCTTCACTTAGGGTGCAGAGTCATATGCAGCAGTCATCCGTCCATTGACCTCATTTTCACTACCTGCGAACTGTTCATATATGTTATACTGTAGTGGCTCACTGATATCTGTGGGACTCAAATTAGTGGAGGCGAGGTCTAAAAATATATTTACTCCTCATCACGTGCTCGGACCACCACATACAAACAAGTGGCTCGCTATGTTGGCCTTCTTGAACTTAAAGTTAATATCTTATTCAGCTGATCGTTGTACTGGTCCTGCTTGAAGGTTGTTTTTGATTTGAACTCTCTGCCGCAATCCATGATACCTAGCGAGGGTCTCATAGTGGCTGTCTGTGGAGTATGCATGACAAGTGTAATGCGCTTGGATTACCGTGTGTCCTGGTTTCAGTCCCTTTATCTAACTCCAAGTTGCTCTGCTCCTGTCATCCTTCTGTGGAGTAGAAATTTTACCGAGTGACCGTCGGGGTTTAGAGTATACGGGCGACAGTTTCCTCTGAACAGCACACAGTCTCTGTAAGGGCGCTTCCCTATAAAGTGACACAGAGCTCTATACGCTTCAACGAGTTTTCAAAACCCTAATGGATCAAAGTGCTATTGCCATTCTAGTTATCATCGAACGGCCTGCCTAAAAAGTTTACTGCACATAGCAGCGTGATTTTTGACTGCTCCGCGCTCTCTATAAATGAGGCTGATCCGGTTAACTCGTCGGAGATGACTCCTGCAGATAACGAGTGAAAGCCTCAGCCGACTTTGTTAACCTGCGGTGATTGAAACGACATTGTTATAGCGGTTACAGTCTGCGTCTCACTGAATGAGTTTTACAAGCCCTCCAAAACGGAATACGCTCGTCCGAAGCAAATGCATCTCTTATTCGCGTACTTCTTGAATTCCTGTCCAATTATGCTCTCCTGTCTTAGCGGTCAATATGGGTCTAGGCGATGTGTTTGGCCCATTTTGATCTGTACTACTTTATATATATATATATATATATATATATATATATATATATATATATATATATATATATATTCACGCCAATGACTTGCATTGGACTGCTGTTTCTCCATTCTGGACCTCAGACTTCAGGTTGATCGCTTCAGTTGTTTAAAGCTCGACCCAACAACGCAAGCTATTGGGTCATTGGCCCTCATTCATTCGATGCTCTGCTTCCGATTTCCCTTCTTTTTTCTGATTTGTTTTCTGTTCCTCTTTTCCCATCGTTCTCAAGGCAACTGCGTCCACCACACGTCGGTACTTAGACTCAAGTTGATCCGCCGGAATACTAATTTAACTGTTTTTGTACTATGCACCACGCATCCTCCATACTAGGCTGCTGGCTCACTTGCACTAGTTTGACTTGGATCACAAATTATTGTAATCTCGTTAATTTGCACTTTTTTTATCCAACACTCTGTTGCTTATTTTCAGTCAATCGCTTTTTCATCAGAACCCGAACTTTTCTTGTGGCGTCGACTACCGATGCATCTTGCATCTCTTTGTCTCATTTACTAACTTCCTGAGCAGCCCTTCCGATTTCTTGACTTTATGTGTTCACCGTGCCTCACTTTACACTGCGAATTTCGTCTCGAATCTGATTTTGCGCGCATATTTTTGCTTTGTAGAACATTCGCTTCTGCCTGATATGCCCTACTTAATGCGCAGTACCGTGGCGTGGATTAGCCATGCTGTAAGTGGCTTTCTCTAACCTTTATTTTCATTTGGCTCCCTGACTAGACTCACTCTTCCTATTATTATCTCCATTCCGTGCTTGCTTGTTCTTAACTCTTCCCATTACTTCTCGTCATTTACAGAACTTTTGTTTCTCTTAAGTCACGTTCTGTTGTGTCACACTGAGGCACTCGGTGCTAAAATGTTTCTCTGGGTTGTATATTTACCCACTTCGTTTCTGGTGGTTCGATGGAATCCACATTCATCATTTTTCGCCTAAACCTTGGTCACTGTGCACTGTGCCTCTTTAGAGCTTCTATCACATTTATTTACCGGTGACCGTTGGGATGAGATGTCTGCTGCTCTGCAACCCAGTCACCTGCTCGAATGTGCGGGCGACGTCACCATATCTCTTGCCAGGAAGCGATTCGTAGCAGTCACGTGACTCGATTAGCTACAATTGATCCTGATAGATCTTACTACCGCACCCAGAAGTCTGCTGGTTTCTGATGCATTTCAACTTTTCATATCGAATACAACACTCATGGGATCTTTCTCTGATTGACACGGTGATAATTGGTATCTTCCATTTTTGTAGATATCTGATTTCTTTTCGGCTATTATTGAGGTTGCGTTCCTGATATTTCTCCCTCTCATTCCCATCCCCCAAATAAGTTGCCACAGCATTGTCCGTATTTTCACTACCCACCTGCTCGCATTGCCATAATTTTTTGAGTTGATGATGCTTACACCATTTGATCCCCGTTCGCCTAATTCATCTGCGTTCTTTTTGTTTACCGTCATCTACCACAAAAAGCGCTTTGCACTGGTAAGAGTTTTCGGCTAGCTAATACACACAGGCACCATATTTCTACTTACAGTGATCTTGAAAAAGCCGAACTCTACTGGAATCGTTATCTTTCTGTGGACAACAGTGAGATCGTTGGTAAGTGTTGGTTGATCTTTTGTCTTTCTTACAGTCATAACGTTAATAATAATAATTATTGTTATTATGTATTTCTCTAGAAAGCGCGAAGCAATCCTCCTGATCTGCTCGTACGGCTTCTAGAGTATAGTTATCTTAGCCTGGGCCCAGGATCATTGTTGGCATATACGTTGACAGCGGTGTGCTACAATGTTTGCCAAGGATTAAACCGCATAGATGACGAACTTTGACCACCTACCCACATTTTCATCTCTATCACTTTGAACCAAGATCGTTGTTCTCAATGTCGTTCCATGGTAACATGAAAAGAACCGGAATCTTAAAGTTGGAATTCTTTCTGTGATGATGTGTTTGACGATGCGGTATGGGGATTAGAGATGGTTTATATAAAGCTTCCAAGTAATGTTACTAGATGAATTGACGTCAAAGACTGAGTGTCAAGTGAGATTTGTACTAAACAATACCATGCTAGATGTAAACGTTCGTGGTAAGAGTACACAAGTACTTCATCGAATGTGTTCCCATTGTTCACATTGAGTATTGCATCCAAAAAGGAGGTAAGAGAGGAATTAGATGCGCGTTAGGCAGACTAGTGGGCGAAGCAGATAAAAGAATCTTGTGTGTGCACATGTGGTTCATGCGCCTCACGCATTGACCAACACCACAAGCGTAGCAGATAGTAAAATGAATGGGCAGATTGTAGCGTAGGTACTTGGACGAGGAGACGGGATGTGTGTGTGACACAGTAGTCCAGTCTGTATGAAACAGTTAGGCATGTAGTGTGACAGTGGCCGAGGGGCTTTGCGCTGTTGAACCACTCTTGTAGAAAACTTTAGTTGTGGCACCTGTCCTGCTGCTTATATCCAACTGAGTCCGATTTCGTGAAGCGACTCGTTCTTGTGTAACGTTTTCCACAATTGTGTCGTTACTTTACTGTTAAGCAAGCGTGACCAAGTCTGCAAAATTCCTTAGCGGATTCAGTTTCGTGTGTTATTAGGAAGCATATTCTACAATTAGCCGTAACGTTTAACATTTTTGTCAGCCATTGTTTTGTGGCGTGTCAAATTTTTGAATTTCTATCCTTCCTTGCACATTAAAGGAGTGTGCGTTATTTCCGTAGTGAGGGAAAATGTTCCTTTTCATCCTGCATAGGAAGGTTAGATTTCCAGAGATCGCATTCCATTTTGCCTAATATATCTGTGTACCTCCTAATTTCCTCCCTTACTTCTCCTCATTCAGTTTAAAACTGTATGCTACGAAATAGACGATATCTGTATTCGACATATTATCACGCGTCGCATCCTAAAACACAGAAATGTGTTGAAATACGCCAGCGTGTGTGCCATCTGTAGGTCTACTGAACGTCGACGTCTTCCAGTTACATCCTTCTTCAAGTTTCTGTCCACTTAATTGCTTGGCGGAGAGCACGTATCGATTGTTACAGGCGCCTAGCCTTCGTCAGGCTTACATTCGGCGTTGTCGGCATGTCCTCAGTTCTTCATATTCGTCTGGGTGTGATATGTGGTGTACCACTTTCGCTATTCTTTCTCATTACTGCACTTGAATACAAGATGCAACTAAGACTGTGATAAACCTGAGCAAACTAAGTCAGATGTGTCAGTTTCGTAATGTATTTTTGGACACTTGCACATCGGATCTTGTGCCTCACCATCCGTCGCCATAGCCGCCGGTTACTTACCACGGAAATCCGCCGCTCTGTCCTTCTCCTCCGTCTTCTTATGTTTCCTTTTTTCAGTCTTAAAAACACTAACCACTTTTCACCCTAAGTCTCGGTGTTGTTTATCGTGGCTGTCGTAATTGACCTCACAGCGTCCAATTTCCGTTCATTCATCTGTCTACACTCTTATCATCATCTTCCATGCCACAGGGCTTCTAATTAATCCAATCTGTATTTTCCGTTTTCTCAAATCACACATTTTCTCATATGCTGTATATATGTCACCCCATTCTTCATTCTAGAAGTGTTCTTTTCCTCACTTCTAGCTAATGGCTTTTTGGTGAACTGTTTGATTTATCATCCTCAACTCACTTATCTAATACATTCTCTGTCTTCAGATTTATTTGTCGGTCAGCTGATGAGCACACTGGAATGCGCTGAGTGTGGCTTCAAGTCCACTACATTCGACCCCTTTTGGGATTTGAGTCTCCCGATCCCGAAGGTAGGTCATTGGGCCTCGTCCACATCGTTATAGTTTCGCTGTTCCGCCGCACCCGTTTACGCTTACTGGGATGCATTGATAAATAACAGTAAGCACGCTGCTTACCAACATGTGCGCACCCTTGGATTAGCTCAGTCATAGATATCACTCGCCTGCGCCATCTCATTGTCTTATAATTTGTGGCGATTAAATTAGTGACTGAAGCATCCATCGCCTTCTTGCTAATCCGATTGGTGCGGTCGTGTTCAAAACAGTCAATCGGTGCAACACGACGTGACCTTGGGGATCATAACAAATTAGCGACAGAGGTTTTTGACTGGATAACCCGAAAATGTCCCTTTTCGTGGAGGAACTCACCGTCATACTTCAACAGAAGCAATTTGCAATAAGCCAGACACGATTGCTTGAGAACATATGCCAGTCGCTTGCGGAGTAAGCAAGACCAAGCGCCGCAAAATAGCATTTTTCCTTAAATGCAGTCGCTAGGGGTATTTGTGAGTTTATATAGATCCCGGATGACAGCCTCACCTTCGGATCCCTATCCAAATTTGCCGACCGTAACGATGGATGATGCGCGGACTGCTCTTGAAGAAGTTGGGAGCCAGTGAGCACAACTAGTTCCTCAATCCTATTTCTCCCAAATGCCACAAACATTTAGTTTCGATGAATTTGTACTAAATAACATCTTTGTAAGCATTCTTCTCTGTCCATCGTTCGACCTAGTTTCATGATGCTCAATATATGTGCATCAGACGATTTTATAACTCACAAGTAATGTCAGTCGTCATTGCAAGCATTTCAAACTAAAACAAATGAAGAACTATCATTTCAAGGCACTGATTTCCGTTTTTAGTCTCCAAGTGCCCGAAGATGTCTAAGTACGTATGTGATTGCTTAACAAAATTGGGCTGGACACATCCATCATTCTCGTGTCCATCACTTCTCAATGTCGGAGGCTGGTCACCTTGTAACATGTCACGAACTTGATTGTCTTAGGCCGCAGCCCGTGTCCCGTTGATGGACTGGCAGTGTCAAGTCATCGCGGAAGTTGAGCGAAGTTTCCAGACCCTGATAATCCAAACAGGCCACCATCCGCATACTGGCAATGTGGGCGCTTCGTCAGATTCTGTTCGTTGTCAGAAATGCAACAAACGGGGTCACATGGATGGTTATTGTTCTCCAGCTGTTTTCAACAATAATATTTCCACCAAATATTCCAAAAATCTTGGACCCACATCCTTAACCAGGCATGAGGCTGCTTTATCCTGTTTTGCTGCTGTTACGGAATGTAAGCTTACAGTCCGCCATCAAGCCGAGAGCAGTGGCGCAAAAGTGGATCGATCTACAACTAGAGATCAAACGCCAATCTATACGGGTTCAGCGCCAAGTTGGATCATGCATTTGAACCATTTGAGATGTGTTAATTAATGTTACTTAGCATCTGCAACATTGTTGTGTTAATAGTTGCCCATAACCTATTTATTGCGCCGTGCTGTCATACAATACGACTCTCTTTCCGGCTCGTCTTTGCACCTCTCCTTGCGGGCATTGAGTGATGGCGTCAGCAGCGACACAACAACTTTCCTGACGGCGGGAGGGGTTGAACATTCATGGCGATTTCATTCGAGCAGATGCAGTCCCTTCTTCATCAGCAGCAGCTTCAGTTTGAAAAGTCGCAGCAGCAGCTGGTTGAGTTGCTGTCACCAAAACTCAACATCCAAGTGGAATGGGAACATGAACCAAGGCTGACATCACAGGAAATTGCATCTGAATGCCACAGGCTACTTAGTTTGAACAATGATCCAAAAATTGTTGAAGTTTCAGATCCCATGAGTGAACTCCAGTCCGTTATACAGTCATTTGTGGCCATAATGTGAATGAAGATGTGCCTAACCGGAGCGCCCCGACTGCATTATGCAACGGTGCGGTGTGACATTTTGCGAGAGTTCTGGTGTACAAAAATCATCATTGTGAAGGATCGAACAATTTCTGTCGCTTGCCTACCCTAAAGTTGCAAACAAGCTCCAAATGCAAAAATGACCAGGTTTCGTGGCGTAGCAAGATAGGCGATTTCCGCAGCACTTCGCACAGATTTTCTAAAGAAGCGAATACGGCCTACAGTGAAACGCAGCAATGTTCCGGTGTCGCAGAAACCAGAAACAGTGTATACAATCAGGACCATATCTCAGTTGACCAAGCCAAGACTTGGCACAGCATTAGTCAAAACTATGATCCTACAATTCAAAATGTTTCAGGGGAACCTCCGCTGCCGAAAGGAAGAATCGCCTGTGAACGCTGACTCAAAGATTTACAATTCTATGGAAATATCTACCTAGCATTCTGTACCAATCTTAATCTGCCCGGAACCGATTGGGTTACGAAGTTGGATTTACTCAAAGAGTCACGAACTCGTGTGAGTTCTGTAATGATTGTTACTCTCTGCAATATTGACCGCAACTGTTTCAAATTCTTATGTGGTTACAACTTACCGGACCACACTGGTGTCTTGGCCGAAGCCCAAACCGCCATGGTCGCGGATCCAAGTTGGCCTAGAGGGATTCCAGCGTCGGAAGGGCTATGTGACCTCTAGGTATCCCTTTTTTAAGAGAGGGTGTTACCGGGAGAAAACTTACGGCCAACGATCAAGCGATATATATATATATATATATATATATATATATATATATATATATGCCCCATGCTGAGGCTGATGTTGCATTCTTGATGCTTCTTCACCGCAGTTGCGCTAAACCAGCTTACACTTAAACTAGGTCTTTTTAAGCTGAATAAATTTCATTCCACTTTATTTGGTTTGTTCTGCCTCCCTGAATAATGTTCTATTAACTGGCCACGTTGCTTACACTAATTGCGCTTATCTTCGGCAATTTTGTTGCGTTTGTAGCATTTTAAGTAACTTGTGGACATTTCTTACTTATCACGGATTTGGTGCTAACCAACTTACTTTATATGGTAATTTATCGAAGAGTTATGCCACCGTATCTGTATGCATTATTGGATTTATTTAATTTCGGCTTGTCGTTGAAAGTGAATGGCTGTTGTTTGATATCCCTGGTATGGTTGCGCTTGATGTGTATGTTGACAAGGTGCCTACCTGTCTATTACCCACTACATCGTTCATACTGGCTCCAGGAGACAGTTGGTCGTTGCTGGAGGGGACGGGGTGCACGGTTCTTGTGGCCGTGCTAGGCTCAAAGAGCGGTTCCATACACTCAGTGTGGAGCGGACTACGGTCCAGCCACCGCCTTGTGTGCGGTTGATTCCCCAAATACAGTGTGCTTGTGTTTGCCTGTGAAGGAGTGTGGGCCGGCTCCGTTGATGAAACGTGGTTCCCATCCGCATGCCTCCCGGTCTTATTCCTTCGGGTTTACACTGGATATGGGGTATGTGGTTGGAGCTGTGGGTGGTGCAGCGCAAGCCATCCATGGTCCCTCTGTAGGGGCAGGCGTCCTGTGGCTTGCCACAGTGACAGGCAAATCCGAAACCGGATGCCGCCAACCATATATATATATATATATATATATATATATATCCCTAACTTGATCACCTAAAGGATTAGGTCGAAGTGGTCAACTTATGGAGGTTCTTTGCCAAAACTTACATTACTTATTTCCCTTTGTGAGCAGTATAGTATGAAGTTTATTTTCACATAGACCCGTTTTGAACACATTAGACGAGGTCTCAAGTAGCGGCAAACACAGTTCAACCATACCGTGTTATAATAAATCAAAACGCAGTATGTATTTCGAAATTTGAAGTGTTCGTCCCTCGCCTGAATGGACGCTTGATTCCCAATCAACCCCGAAGTCGCTGGCCCCCCACAGGACAGAGAGTAGACCGGATCGGACGAGCAGAGCGACAGGAATGAATTAGCAAAGCACACCGTTCATTATAAAGATAAGATGGAAAGTTCGTGAATAGTATTTCAATCGACCGTGGAAAGCACTGGAAAGGTTAACTTACAACCAATAAAGGAACTTCGACCTAGCGTTCATTGGGCGCTTCTCCTGGTTGGCTTTCTGTTCGCCTTAATCAGGTCGGATGAGTTTGGATCGCCGGCCGCGGCGATGGGGTCCTGGCTTGTTCGCTTCGCGTATTCCTTCCCATTCCCCCCTTTGAGTTGTGTTGTAAGATTTAAGCTTGAGGTTGACTTTCATGGGTGACACGAATTTGCGTCGCCGCTTCAGCCTCTGTGCTGCTAGGTTTCGGGGAAAATGTTGTGCTTGCTGTGTTGGGGCATGTTGGGAGGTCTTCGCATCACCCGCGTCGGCCAGTATGTCCAAAGGTAACTGCACTGCTGGTACTTGTGGTTGCAGTTGTTCGCCAGTCCGTGCCTCTAGCAGCTGATTGGCATGTCTTACCCAAATTGCCGTCCCAACCTGGATACCGTAGATCACGTTACCACGTTTGTATAGCACATGGCCCATAGCCCATTTAGGATAATGGTTGTGATAATCTCTCGGCAGGACTTGTTGACCAACATTAAAGGTTCGCTTCTGAGCACCGTGTCGGATGTTGAATTGACGCTCCATCTGATAGTTGCGGACAGTAACTGATCCTTCCTGGGTCTGAGGGCGTCATGCGTCACACGGATTTTCCTTTGAAACAAAGTTTCAGCCGGAGATAGGGCGTTCGGTGTTTGCGGATTCGGAGTTGTGCGATACGTCAGAAGAAATGTGTCAAGAATCTCCTCCAAGGTACCTTCCCCCTTCATCTTTAGCAAAGCTCTTTTGAGTGTATCCACAAAGCGATCCGCTTGCCCGTTCGATTGTGGGTGGAAAGGTGGAGACCTTACGTAGACGATTGCGTTTCTGCGACAGGAGACGACAAATTCAGATGAGGTAAATTGTGTACCATTGTCCGAAACCAACGTGTGGGGAACACCTAAACGAGAAAATATCTGTCGGAGAGCGGAGACAGCGGCTGCCTTTGTGGTTCTCCCCATTGGAATCATCTCCGGCCATTTACTGGGGGCATCGACAACGATGAGAAAATGATGACCGTCAATTGGACCTACAAAGTCGACGTGTACGCTTGACCATGGTTTCGTTGGTATTGGCCAGGATTGCAATTCCGTCTTCCTTGGTTGTTTAGATACACTGGCACATCGGGGACAATTCTTGGTTAAATTCTCGATCTGGGAATCTATATAGGGCCAATACACATAGCTTCGTACCAGCGATTTCATGCGATTCATTCCTGGGTGGCCAGTATGAAATTGTCGGAGGACTCTCTCTTGAAGGAGGTGAGGAATGACGACGCGATCTGAGAACAGCAGGCAGTTTCTGACGACTGATAGTGCTTCCTTCCGTTGGTGGAATTGTTGAAGCTCCGGCGTTGTAACTCTCTTAGGCCAGCCATTGAGGTGGAAATCGATCACTTGTTGTAGGGTAGAATCATGATGGGTCGTTTCCTGCAGCATTTCGATAGTTACTGATAAGGCACCGAAAATGTCAGACACAACTTGATGTACTTGGGGTTCTACGGAGATTTGAGCAACTACCAAATCGTCTGGTTCTTGATGCTGTGTACCAACTAAGCTAAATAAGGCAACTGCTTGACCAATGTTGTGTGTAGATTGATATTTCACTTTTTACCTACCGTTTGATTCTTATAATCTGCTCATTTAGTTGTCTAGCTTATCGACACTTGTTGATTAGGCTACTGTTGTTTTTGTTCACAGAAGTCAAATGTGACCATAATGGATTGTCTGCGTCTGTTCACATCGAAGGACGATTTGGATGGCAACGAACGGCCAGTAGGTTTTATCCCTCCCCCACGTTTTGTTTGCATTGTCCGGAATTGCTGAGCCTACATTTTACCACTTACATACTGACTTGTCTCTGTCATCTGTTCCTTTGCTTGATTTGGTTTTGCAATGTCTGTACCAGATTGAGCATAACTGTCCTCAAATGTTGACCGTCTTTACTGTTAGCGAGGCACCAGCAGTTTGTGGCGTAGCCTTCTTCAGCCTAACAATTGGTGGCGAGTGGCTCTTAGAACAGTGGTTTTATCCTATAAGCTATACTTGTGATGTCCATTGCTCATCACAGAGTGGTTAAGGATTTCAGTTCCGTTCGGTTGATCAATTTTACTCCGCGCATCTTGAGGCGGTGTATCCTTCCACTGTGATACGCATGGCTAACGTAATAATAATAATAATAATAATAGTAATAGGAGTATTAATGATAATAACCGTAATGAAGAGGAATAGATTAAAATCGCCTGGTCGCCTTATCATGGGTCCGAAATGACGGAACACATACATTAATATCCCTAAATTCAGTTATGTATCCAACCACTGATGTAGCAGATCTCCATCCGGCGGGTCACCTTGAGGTCTCGCTTAACTGGGTGCAGTATTAGCAAACACAGGCGGTTGGCTTGGAGCCATACGAAGCGCAATTTAATCACCGGATATTAGTAGGATTAATGTGGCATCTAAAGAAATTCTTACTGTGCGTTTAGTATATTAGGCAAGCCTGCGCTTGCAATGATCACCTGATCTTGGAGTTGTTGGCGGTTATTCCTACTGCACCGTATATGGTTAAAGAACATCATTGGCGAATTACGTTCACCCTACTTTTTCTAAAACAATCTGCTTTCACTTTCCCCAGGTTTGTGGCCGTTGTAAACTGAGGAGACGATGCACGAAAAGCTTCTCAATTCAAAAATTCCCTCACATACTGGTTTTACGTATCCTTTTACCCGACGCCCACATTTTCATAGTCACATTTATTTAGTCTGCAGTACTCCACTCTTTTCTCGTATCCATTTCGGGATTACAGCTCCTCTGTGGATTAGACATCTTAAGTATGGAGATGCATTTTTGTTTTTGCCGTTTATGCATTTCATGCGTGACTTTCATGCCATTTCATATGTGACACACAGCTTTTCCCTGTTGCGATCAATGCTTCTGACAATACATATCATAGCTACTCACAGTCAAAACACTGCTCGCTTATTCAGAGTTCACATAGATAGCGAGAATAAGTGGCATCTGAAGGGTTTATGGTTTATTTAAACTATTCATCTATGAACCGCGCACCTTTGTGCGATGGGTCCAGTTTCAGCGAATATTGTCATCATTTAACAACATTTAATGGCAGGTGTGTGAAACAAACGGCACACCCAAACATGGGTTCTACACGCTACATGGAACATATACCCAACATGGTGTTCATACTTGTTGGAAGAATAAGCGTAGGTAATGCAACTTTCGATTGCGCTACATCACCACAGGTTTGCAATCACCGATGTGGCTATTCCCTTGTTTCTGAGGAGATGCGAAGACAGTCGGCAATTTGATCGACTTTTTTCGTCACTTTTTGCATGTCTGTTTGTCTCCTCTTCGACTGGTCACTCCCATCTTGACAAGCCTGGATCTTAAAGGTGTGCAATAGTTTGCGTACCATCGTGACCCATTGAGCTACACTGGGTGGAATTTTCCAAGCGGCTCACGTCAGACAGATCGACAGTTAGGGATCACACTAACCCTGTCACAATACTCTTCGGAGGTTAGGGAGACGTCCATGGCCCTTTTCCCTTAAAACCTACCGTAGGAGACAACAGGTTAAGGTGTTTTAAGCTCACAGCTCGATTGGTGTAGAGCACGAGCGCCATATATTGTCTCTGACAGTGGTGACAGGCCACCTTTCAATGCTTTGCTACTGCCCACTTTCAGCCGGGCATCCCTCCAACGAATTGGTGCAAAGGCACCAACTCTCTCTTGCCGCATCCGATTCCGGATTTGCCCGTTACTGCGGCATCCATAGGACAACCACTGGACACCTGTGCTTACCGCGAGACTATGGTTCGCTTGCTCTGCACCACCCACAGCTCCATCCACACACTCCATATCAAGTGAAACCCCGGAGGAATAAGACTGGGAGGCATGTGGATGCGGGCCAAGTTTCATCAATAGAGCCGGCCCGCATCCATCAACATACACAGCAGCAGCATTCCTATCTCTCTGTTTGGTGAATCATGCATACCAGACATGCGCAAGGCGGTGGCTGGGCCGTATTACGTTCCACAGTGGGTGCATGGAACCACTCGTTGAGTCCAGTACGGTCACGAAGACCTTGTACGCCGCCCCCCAGCAACGATTCATAGTCTCCTGAAGCCAGCAGCCGAAGTGGGGGTTAGACACATTGTTAACATTCACCTCAAGTGCAGCCACACCGCGGCTGTCAAACAACCAACACCACATTTCAAAGAACATAAACACGCAACATAACACGGAATGTGCAGCAAAATAACCGAACTGAGCAAATCAAATAAAGTGGAATATTTTTTATCCAGATTAGGAAGATCTAGTTTAAGTGTCGGTGTAGCCCAATTGCGATGAAGAGACATGATGTATGCAACATCACTCTCAGCATGGGGTTGTAAGACACATGTGCTTTATACTAAATCTTCAAACGCGATGTGTGACAGGCCTCAACGTGATCCCACTGAATATCTGAAATCATGCTCTCCATCAGAACTTATTCCCTACTGCTTTATGGGTAGGGCTATTGAAACTATGGCTCTGGGTGGGGTCCCTCAAATGTACCCCAATGCCATGTGGATTGGACTGTTAGGTCAAAGACTAGAGGTACGGTACCTCGAACGAAACCTCGGAATAGGCAGCTGGAGAACATCATCTGCTCCCTCGACAATACTCCCTTTTCTTCTTCTGCTCTCAACTCTCTTCTTCCCTGTATATTGAGCAAGAGAGCCACTGACTTCACAGTTGCTGTCATTGGTACCCGTATCTCTTCCATCAAACTCAAAGTCTCCTTTCATATTAGTTCTTTTAACGCCCGTACTGTGGGTCAGATCGACCAACAGGCAGCACTCTGACTCTTCACTCTCTTTGCATTGGTGTATTCTGTCTCCGAAACCTCGCATACATGAGGACAGCGTTGTGACAAATCGTCGACTCCTTAGTTGTGAACCGGACGATAATGCCTAAACTCTCGGCGTCTCTGAAGATACTAAATCGATGGATCGAGGTATTTTCGATGTTAGTAACGCTCGCAGCAAAGATGCTGAATGCATTCTACTCGACTGCATGCCGGTTAAAGCCGCATATGTCTCGTTCGGTTTCGAACCTCTATTTGGGTTACTAAGCACCGTCTGAAGACAAAGCGCCTTTTCATCGCCTCAATTTATGCCCCCACTGACTGCAGTTCGGAGAGTACTATACGATTTTTTCGTGAACTTTCATCTTTGCTTCGCATGGCAAAGAGTACTGACATCGTGGTTGCTGCTGATGACTTGAATGTCCAATTACGTTGTCTTTCATACCGAACAACACCTGGAAGGCCGCTTTGAGTTCGTTGTCACCCCAGCAGACAATGGTGATTGATTCCTGCAGCTGTACGCTGACCACAGTCCCTATATTATCAACAGGGCTTTTCAGCACAAACGTTCACACTACGTCACCTGGCACCGATCGAATTCCTCGATTACCGGGACCCAGAGTGATCATATTTCCATTAGCTATTGATGGCACACATCAGTCCAAGACTGTCGGTCAATTTGGAACACGTGCTATGATTCCGATTATCTTCCAGTGCGCGCATGCTTGGTGCTCACTCTCACCGCTTCAAAGAAATGCCTATCCGTTAACTCTACTTGTGACGAACTTGCAGTCTGCAGTTCAACAATATCAGACCGAACTGGCTCATCGATTGTCAGTAATGTATGGAGTTGGTGAGCCGAACGCTCACTGGAATCGTCTCAAATGTGTCTTGCATAATGCTTTTGACGCCTTTGTAAGTACCAATTGAGACGTCCTAACTGGATGGATCGCTGAGGCATAGATCGGTTTGATCGAAGCATGGAAACAGGTGTCAATGTGTACTGAATTTCGGATTGTCCGTAACCCCCTGAAATTACATATAACAAGGAGTCTTCGAATCGACCTGGAATGTTGCTGAATTGAAAGGGTCCGTTAGATGGAAGAAGCCCGTGCTTTTCGGAACAGCCCAGTGCTTTTCCAGCTCATCCGGAACATGGGTCCGAGAAAGACATTAATAAGCAAGACAATAGCTGAGAAAGCTGGACAGGATCCTTTCTCAGTCACGTTGACTAGCCCGTTTGGCGGAACATGTTAAAGAGTAGTTCAGCATTCCTACTGCGACATTGCTGTTTGCCGAATCACCTGAGCCGACGTGGGAAGTTGATGTCACACCTCACACTTTGAAAGAAATTCGACATAACCTGTCCGTGTTGTAAAGAAACAAGGTTCTTGGTCCCGGCGTACTTCCTCCACCTTTACCGGTAGGTGGAAGTGACTCTGTTTCTTGGGTTTGCTTATCTATTTCACACGATTTGGGACACTGAAGAGCTGCTTTCAGACGGGCGACTGTCAACTATCGCGCCCGCCTCAAAAATTTCTGCCCACTTTGTGCAAGAATCATCGAGGCATCAGCCTTATTTTCATTGCCTCAAAGCTTCTCACGAGTATCAGCCTCCGACAACTTACGGTTCCTCGTAAGAGCCAAAAATATGATTTGCTTCTGCCCTGGTCGTGGATGCATCGACCACATATTTAAGTTTCGCCAAGCGTTAGAGCAGAGGCACTTACAGACAACCGATTATGGTGGTTTTCCTTTACGTTGAAGCCGTGTTCGACTCCGTCGACCGCGCCAGCTTGGGGCACTGTCTGTCCATGAAGTACGTGCAAGCTAAGCTCCTTCCCATCGTTAAAATTCTATACCTTGACTCCGTGGTCGGGTCGGGGTCTACATGAAGCTGTCTCATGACTTCCCCACGTCAAATGTAGTTTCCCAGAGTTGTCTTATATCTCCTTTCTTCAACTTTACAATCGAATTGATCATGATTGACTCGGTCTTTTGTGTCTCTTCGAGAGTGTAAATTCTGCTATGTGGCCTATAGATAAACCCGGCGAATGCGGACCACATATCTCTTTTTGGGTCTGACGCAGTGGCTATGTAAACACTACTGGATAGACTGGTGCGTGACGCTGCACACTTCGGCATATGCTTTGCATCTTCAAAGTGAAAAGTACTGTTGTAAGGCTGGATCGATGTACACCAGTTCTGGCTGTTAGCGAACAGCCTCTCTAAGTGGTGGATCGTTTCACTTCCCTTAGTTGGTGTGTCACCACTGGTGGTCACATCACTGAGGAAGTTACTTCGCGTATTAACAAGGCCCGTGTGGCTTCACTTTAGGCTCAATCATTTGTGTAGACTGCGGGATATAAGCCTGTCAGTGAAATGTAGGGTGTATGATGCTGCGATAAGGCCGATGTTGCTGTATGGATCAGAGAGGTGGCTTGCTCGTGATGAAGACATTAAACGCCTGCCCTTGTTTGAACATCTATGTATGCGTAGTACTGCTCACGTCTCGTGGGAGCGCCGGGTGAGCAACTCTATGGTCTGGCAATTGTTTTTCGACAAGAAATCTGCTGGTACCTCACTCACGTGTTTGCATAGTCTAAACCGCTTATGTTAGCTTGGTCATATCTTCCGTATGCCCGCTGCTCTCTATCTTCGACGTGCATTATGCGCAGTGGTTGAACCAAGTTAGGCGAAACCTCCAGGTCGCTAGTCAATCACCTGACATAAGGTCTTGAAGTACTTGACTGATAGACTTGATCAGGCCGGTGCATACCGTCTCCGTGGACGGAATCCACGGGACGATCCACACTTATGCTTGAAGGCTTCAATCAGAGCGCATTCGCGCAGTAAGTGGGGTTTCTGCATTCGTTTTCCTGCAACTTGTTTTTGATTCTCGTTCTATCCCGATTCATTTAACGTACCTTCCTCTTGCTTCCATATTCTTTACCTTCTGTTTGAGTTCCTCACTTTCTCGTCATTGTTATTTATAGCTATCCTGGCAACGTGAGTCATGACAACTTGATTCACAACAGTTCGGTGACTTGATCACAGTTCCTTAGCTGAGCTGAACTCAACTGGCTCCCAACGATACCAACCAGCACGTCACCCTGTTTAAAAACTACGCACACATAATGTTCCGTTAGGCTACAATATATGATGTTAAACACCAACGCACTCACATTCGTTTCACCCATCTAGTGTTCTCACCATGGTTTTCGAATGTTTGCACGCACTGGTGTTCAAAGATGGCAACGTGTACCATTCATGCAGTGGCACTGTACTCATTGCAACTTTGCACGCTCTGCTCTTGACCATTGGGCAAAATCCCCGCACACGTGCGTGTGTGGCGGTTGCAATAAATCTCACCAAAAACAATTAAATCCCCTTACTTTCAAATAAGCTGACTTACCTGTGTATTAAGGCCGATAAAGCTACGAAGACGAACCACACACATGCGGCTTTTCACGGGGATGCATTCGGACAGCGAATCTTTTGCGCGTCCGCTGAGAGCATCGTAAGCGCCATGCGCAGTGGATTCGCCTGCAGCGGGTACACGAATTATGTTATATCAACAATTACAATTCGAATCCTATAGCCGCAGTCCACCAGCACGCTGTTATTTTGTATCCATTTTTGGAATACCTAAACTACAGGGCAAGCTTTGAGTGTTGGCTGCATCTGATTTTAAGAAACGCAGTGTAAACCAAAATCCTTTCTTTGAACGGGGGGCTGACTTCCTTGTTCTTGTGGCTACCGAATTTAAACCCTATCTTGATTGGGTATTTGAAAAACCATGTAGGGAGGGATGGAAACAAGATGTATATTGCTGATGATGAAGTTTCATTGGTAAATAGTGCTTTTCGGCTACCCATTTCGAAAGAGGTGCTTTGTTCCTGGTCCACTAGTTTAGTATACCTGAGATCGAGGAGCCTACCTGGGTCATAAAAGACCATGGGCACTACCAATAAGGTTGTCGCGCTTTTTAATCTCGGAATTTGAATGCACATATCTTGGCTCAGACGGAACCTTTTTATTCTAAGTGAAATTTATTTGTGTCGACATACCTTTACCAACGGGTAACGATCTTATTTGTCCCGAATGACTAAAATTCCGGACTTTTGGTGCCGATGTACTCGTCGAATGCGGTTTCAAAACGTTTCTCTGGGAGGCACTTACCTGGGCTCTTTAAAAAGTGACTAGAAGTCAGAAGAATATGGTGGGCGGAGCAAACTTTTGTATCCCAGTTCGTTCAGCCTCTGGAGGGTTTGCTGTGCGACATCTGCCGAACGTTGTCATGGCGAAGAATTTGCCCATTTCTTTTGACCATTGCCGGACACACGTGTTGGCGTTTTCGGTATATTATGGTCATTTGTTGTCGATACTACACCGTTGTATTGGTTTCGCCTGGATTCCAAAGGTTGGGAAATATTAGACCAGCCACAGACCACCAAACAGTCATCATAGCCATTTTTGCTTTGGGAAGTGTTGTGGAGTTTGATCAGAATCTAACCAGTGGGCAGCGCGTCTTCGATTGTCGTAAACGATCCACTTTTCGCCACACGTCACATTCTGGTTGAGAAACGGGTCTTTTTTGTTGCGTATGACAGGGGTAGATGGCGCTTCAAAACGACTATTTCTTTGGTTTTTATTCAACTCGTGTTACACCCCCTAATTAGGCTTCTTCGACGTTCCAATTTCCCGTGCATGTTCGAAAACTGTCACATGCTATACTGCTAGTTCACTAGCAAGCTCTCGAATAGTTTTCTACGGATCCACTTCATCTAGTTCTCTTAATCTATCGTTGTTCACTTCCGATGACTGTCCGCAATGTTTTTCATCCTCAAGCCACTTGTAAACTGTTTGAACTTTTTGCGAACAATATTAAGCAGTTCGGCCATTAGTTCCAAGATCAAGTGCACTGCGGATGCCATGAGCTGTTTCCGCCGCATTTCGACCAAGTTTAAACTGGAACAAGCAATTTGCGAATTTGTATTCGGTCTATCTCGCATTAACTGTTTTGTACAGGTACAGATACGTTCTCCCTTGCTAAACTCTCACCACTGACAGATAGAGCTAAAAACGTGCTTTGAAATGATATTATAGGGTCTATGCAACTTAATAATAATTTATTCAAAAATAAAGTTGTTAAAATTAACATATCAAGAGCCTCAATAACTTTATTATTAACTTAATACAAACCAGCTACTTCGTAAGCGGTTGCATAGTTTCATTACAACCACTTAGTAGGAGATGGAGCTGGATGGGAAAATATGCTGATGCGCCTGCTGGTGAGTTGAATGCCTTGATTACAGCTGCGCATTGTGGACCGAGGCTGAAACGGATGGCGTCAGAATCTAAAGGAGATGGCTGCTATAACAGCACTGAAATCAAGATCGAGGAGGCAAGGCGAAGAGCATCAATAAGGCCTTCTAAGCCAGACTCGATGATCCCTTACCTGTTGACTTGCTATAGAGATACATTCGTACGTGTTATGATCACCAACTTTTGAGTCAGCATGATGACCGATGACACAGTAGGGAGTATGTCCAGCCTGGAAGAAGGACCGCGGAGTCTCTGCGATCTGATTGTGTCCGACCGCAAACAGCCTTGGAGGATTTAGAACCGCCGATGCCTGTTTTCGTTTGATGTGAACGTGACCAGGCTTAGCCGTACTAGTATTAAGCGGACAAACAGAGCGGATACCTACGTACGACGCTACAACGCACGGCCACGTGGACAAGCGGACGAGCTTGTGACAAGTCACATGGGAGACTGGCAGAATGTGGTGCTCATGTGCAGACTGGATACTTAAGCATCTGACTAAATATGGCACAGTGAGGATATGAGCGCTTTTCGAGATGCGGTGCCCATTGACTTGGCGGGCAGGCCTGCACCTGGACGCCAGAAGATGACCAACTATGACGTACCGTAGCAACTCAACCAGGCAGTATGCGTTCATAATATATGAAATCAAATCAGTAACGATTGGAGTACTGCAATGCATTTTTTGGAGTTTATGTCTGATCGGTAGATGTAGTCGTCACCGAATACGCACCGCCAGCCGAGTCTTGCCTTCTGATTTGTCAGTTGGATTGGAGGGCTAGGCAGAGGGAACCGAAGGCTGACATCACAACAGTAGCGACTGCGAGTCAAACGAACCCAAACATGACCGTCAGTTTTGAGCAACAGTAGCACGCACCGACCACTACAATCAAGCTCTGCATCAGTCGCAAATGAATGTCCTCTTACCGAAGACACTGACGAAGCAAACTCGTGAGCTTCACTATAATGCTCTCACTGGTATAACTTTTAATTCGTGGTCCAAAAAATATGTTCCGTGTTTATTTGATTTAACCAGTGTCTCGGAGGAAAGAAAGTCTACCCTATGTTGCGAAAATTATCTACAGCCGAACACGTAAAATTCACGAATTTTCTGCAACCCAAATAGTGTACTGGTTTGGTTTCATGTAGTAGTGGCTGTTCTGTCGTAGACATTTGGAGAACAGACGTCGTTATCCGACATCCGATACAATTGACTTACGATGGCCAAGAAGGAAGACAAATACCGGATCTGTTACTTAAATCGGGTGAAGATTTCGAAAGGTCAAAATTCCACAAGGTTACCGGTGATCAGTATACCATTTATTACCGAATATAAACCGATGATTGTTGGCCAATTTTTCATTTATTTAGTTGGACATCGGCTCACAAAAAGGTTATGCACAATTTGAAAAAATCATGCAAAATCCACCCAAGAATTCACTGCACACCTTTGCCCGTATCTCCTCTCAGCACCACCCGCTAGTGACGGGCGGTATTCTACACGGGGATTTAATTGCCCCATTTTTTCATACGGTGTCCACGCAGCACCTCGGGCAGCATTGTCTATGTGGCGAAAATTCTCGATATATTGCATATTTGACGTTCGCAACGGATGGTAGTAACAGAAACATACCGGAATATACGTAAACAAATACCATCACACACAATAACATGAAAAAACGACAGAGAATGCACTTACCGGTTAGTTTTTTGAGTCGGTTAATATGGGGACTTTAGACATATTTGTTATTGCAAAACCATACTATTGGCCTATCCATGTACGGGCTTATCTTCTGTAATATACGGTAAGTGTCTTATGTTTTTGATCTCTAAACATCTAAAGATAACGATATTTGAACAAGAATACTGGACAAAATTGTGCAAAATCCCTAAGTGACACTGCAGCAAGTGACCGCTGCATACCAAGAAATAATATAGTTGAAGTATGATACTCCAGTGATTCAACAACACTCCAGCTCGAACTGTCATGATGCCATCTGCACAGTCGGTTGCAACACTCGAAAGGAAGCGCTTTTTAACGTTTTGAAGTTCATTGTTAGTTAATTCTTGCTCCAACTGAGTATAACGGCTTGCTTTGTTCGATCATTTCATTTACTATCTAATTCGGACTACATTACGATTCGGTGGTTTTCCTGCGCAATAACGTGCTTTGTCTGTCCTCAACAACATAACCGAACGAATGCTGACATGTCATTGCGGCCCAACGTCCAAGCCCATATAGCAGTACACCGGGGGATCCGCCATTTGCCATAGAACCTGCCCGCATTTCAACGCGTTTCCAAAGTTTGATTGCGCATCCATTTGTGATGACTTTTCGCATGTCCACGCAGGTGCGCTTTTAGCTAGTCGTGTGACTACTAAGATAGTTCAGGATTTGATGCTCTATGTTTCCTGTAGTTTTACCAGGACTTTTCCATTTTGTCTGTCGCCATTAAACTCCTAGAGCTCCAAAATGTTCCTTAACTCTAACTCAGATCTGAAGCGCTTTTCTGGGGAGCGTTTTAGATCGAAAATGTCCATGCTCGTGGATTATCCAATCAATAACCTAGACCTGCTGGAGTTTTCCTCGCCGAGCTGTAAGTTTTACAACACCGTTTCTTCTGTTTCTTTTTCTTCCAACTGTGCAGTGTGTGTTCCATCCCACTTAGCACGTCGTTGCTTCTTACTCTCTGCTGCACTCTTTGAGTCGTTCTTTACTTCCTTCCTACTTACATTACACGGACCATTCAGATTAGTATAGCTTTCAGCCTATTACATCATCGTGTTTTTCTGCATATTTATCCACAATTATATTTTGGCGTTCCGTGCTTGTGTAGTACGCCTATAACTGTGGTCACACACTTGACTTTCGCAGGTCTGTCGCCTTAATGCATACCACTTTACTTGAGGCAATGTCTGATACTTCAGCGCTGATAATAACTCATAGACGCCTCCGTCATTCAACATGACGTAAGCTCGCTGTATGGAGATGTTTTCAAAGAAAAACGAGTCATGTCCTTGTGGCAGCCCAGGATCTCACATAACAGACAACACACGCATCTGACGCCTATTCTCCTTTAGACTTACGCTAGTGGTTGACAATTTAACCAATCCATACTACATATCAACTCTCCGATATTGTCACTCTCATGTTCGCCCATCTGTCGCTGGTAGATTATCATCAGTTAGATATTGTAGCACCGCCATAACCCGGTCACATGCCTTGATGACCAGAAGTCGTGGACGAAAACTGTGTGCTAATTCATTCTCGGTGGTCTCTATAAGGGAAACATGTAAAAATCATTAAGTGATAACAACTGTGTCATCTCAGTGTTAGATATTGTATAATCCGCCACGTATTTGTATTGTTCGGAGTGAGTATCAGTCATTCGGATCACTGGAACTGCGTAACATGGGCGGATGATGTTCAAGTGGCTTTCCGTTAGCGATTCGAAACATTTGTTTAACAACTAATCACAAAGCAAGAGCAGTAACGCCTAGCCTCATTTCAGCGACAACTTAGCCTGACTAAGACAAACTCTTTCCACCCGACCCGGCAAAGTACGTTTAGAATGTTCCCTCGTTGTACTCTATAAGACTGCTTGTGGCACTTTCACGGTTCAGATTTCTGCTTTCCCTGTGTTTATTCAAGTCAACTAGGATTAAAGGTCCAATTCGAGAACTGTATGCTCAAGTGTATACGCTTTCATCTTCGTATTAACGTTCTGGTTAAAACATACTACCATTATTTGAAGCAGAAACCCAAACTCAGACGAGAATGTGTTACTCTCCGTGCCGAATAAACGGCCAAGGATAGTTCTGCTGAATAAAACTGACTGTAACGACAAGATGATGGTCGTCCTCAGCGATTGTTAAAAGTTTCATAAAACGGAGAATGAGAGAACAAAACAGCCGCAATCGAAACGACAGCTACTAAGCTTCTACATTGCTTGAATCAAGAAAGTGTGATGGAATTTGCCAGGTCCAAACACATTCGGACCACAGTGACGGCGATTCCGGGACTTCACGGCTTACAGCAAGTACATCAAGAGGGGCTTCCACTAAAACTTACATTGGACATGCGCAACTCACCTTACTACGCAACAACCAAGTGGTTAGCCAAGCTTTTAGAATCGCTGCGAAAGTTGTGTCCACATATAGTCTCCGTGATACATTCAGCTTTTTAGACTTCACTACACATCTTGAGCTATCCGGAAGGAATATGTTTTCGTTGGACATCCTATCACCCTTTACCGGTTCCTATAGAGAAGACAATAGACTATCTATGCGACACCTTTCGAACACATCAGTTGAACGCCGGTCTTTCGCACAGTTCATTGGAACAGCTGCTCATGCTGTGTACTAGCAGTATGCAATTTCCTTTCAGGGGGGTTAATATACAGACAAGGATAGAGTAGTGGAGGGCTCCCCGCTGTTAGCAAGCGTGTGCATGAGCAAATTTCCGGCCCGTAGCCTAAAGGTAACAAGCTTGTCTTGTAGTCTGGCCGCGCGGGTTCGAGCCTACGTAGAGACAGGGCGACGCTTGCAGTATCTTAGCCCACGTGCGACCGGTGGTGGTTGCGCAGCAGCGAAGCATCGGTACTGCTTACTGGTGTACTGCTGATGCCCTTTTTCGATAGCAAGTTAGAGAACAACTATCTGAGTGGATTCATTGGCAATGTACCCTACTACGTGCCATACATGGATGATATATTTTGTTTGACAAACATTCACTGTATCGCAGAGCAAATTATGCTCCTTTTTAACTCGCCGTACGACAATACTAATTCGCCCTCGAATCTGAACGCATTGGTACGATGTCCTTCCTAGACATCCAGATTAGCAGAAGACCAGATGGGTCGATCCAACGGATGGTGCACAGAAAAGCCATCTAGAACGAATAATATACTCATTTTGCCAGCGGTGTCCCACTAAATCAGAAACGGAACTTGTTTAGATGTTTAACCGAATGGGTTAAAAAGATTTGTAGTGAGAATACCCTTCCGGTAGAGCTAAATTTCTTAAGTAGCCTTTCTGAGGGAAATGGCCATCCGGAAAAGTTTGTTCGGAGAATTATTAAGTTCTAAAACAGTTTCGATCGGAAAGAAACTTGTTTATCTATCTTTAAAGTTCAAAGGGGTAGAATTGCGCAGACGTCTAGTAGGCTATACACAACAAACAGTTAAGCTTTACTTCAACATGAGGCATCAACTCAAAAACTGACTTTTTTCGAGTACTTCTTTCTGTTTGTACTCCTTTTATGCATATCGAGCAAGATATATTGGAGTAATCAACCGAAGCGATTGCTATCCCAGATTTAAATGCTCGAAAACGATTCGTCTAGATTCTCTCTCTACCTTCTCCCCAGATCACAATGACTCCTGTTGGGGAACATACCACTAACACGTCCTTGATCGCCGCTGTACTCGTAATTGTTTGCTGGACGCTATCTCTTCAGCCCGCTCTACTGGTATGGAACAGGGATGCCGTATATCACCATTCTTGTTCGGCTTCGCTATTTATGACATATTGTAGACTGCTGTGGGGGGCTGTGGGCCTAGTGGCGTATAGTTGTATCGATTGATTGGCTTCATCACTTTACGGTAATTCATGAATCCTTGGAGGCTGCGCAGGTGTGAGATGTCTGTCTCAGTCCGGAACGACCTACGCCCCTTCAAAATGCAAGGTTATCTTTCAGAACTGACTAGGAGCTACTCTTCACTTTACCCACTCTGTCTATTCTTTGGGAGTAGTTGATATGTTCGTTTGCCTTGAGAGCTGCATTAGCGTTGACAGATGAACGGATGAGATCCAAGTAATCTCCAAAGCTAGAGTAGCCTTCGCCAACCTCTGACTTGTAGTGCAGGTGTGACCTAAGTCTTCCGTTGAAAGACCGAGTCTTGAATACTATGGTACGAATGGTGCCTGTTTACAAGTGTAAGTTCTGTCCCCTTCGCACAAATGCTTTTCAGAGGTTATCTTTTTATTATTACTGCCGTCTCAGGAGTATCACTAGTATACGTTGAAAACACCACATTAATAGTGGTGAAGTCCCACATCGAATTTTCAAGTCAGACTAACTCTTGTCGCCGCTAAATCATGTTTTCCGCACACGATCTTCGATACCTCGGGCATGTGTTTCGTTTGTCTGCCCAGCGCTTGAGTGCAAACCTATTGATTTGAGATGACGTCAATGTGCTCACCACACAACCCGGGCTCAAGGAATCAAGGCGCTGACATCAAACTTGGTCACGATGTGACGTTCCCGGCTCCCGGGTTTGGCCCCAAGCACCACGAGGGAACCTTGTTGGAAATGCTAGTGGATGTGGTCCAGAACCGCGCTCCCTTAACCGTCTTTCCGTATCTTTTGTCGTATTTTTGCGCATTTGCCGTGGCACTCTGTTAACTTCATGCTGAGGTTGATTTTGCACACATCATGCTTCTTTACCACAGTTGGGCCGCACCGACTTATACTTACACTAGATTTTCTTAACCGGAATAAAATGTATTCCCCTTAATCTGATTCGCTCAGTTCTGTTATTCCGCTGTGTTAATTTTGAGAATTTATTCTCCTGTTAATTTCGGTGTTGCTTGTTCGATATCCGCGGTATGGCTGCACTTGATGTGAATTTTGACAACGCGTCTATCTGTCAAAAAACCGCTACCTGGATTCTACTGGCTCCAGAAGACAGTTGGTCATTGCTGGAGGGGACCGGGTGCACTGTCTTCGGAATCGTGTTAGGCTCCACGTGTGGCACCATGCATCCACTGTGGCATGAGTTTCGGCCCAGTCACCGCCTTGTGCACCTCCGGTATTCATGATTTCCCAAGTAGACAGACAGGAATGTTGTTGCTGTGCATGTTAAAGGAGTGTGGGCCAGCTCCGTTGATGATTAGGAAGCCAGACCAGTCATTCAGTTTCTATGGGTCACAAATTTACGAAAAAAAGGAAACTCAGATAAGCCCTAACAGATTTAAATTGCAGTCGTTGATAATTCGTAGCTCCCATCCACATGCTTCCCGGTCTTATTCTTTCGAATTTACACTGGATGTGGGGTGTGTTGATGGAGCTGTGGGTAGTGCAGCACAAGCCACCCATGGTCCTTCAGTAAGCGCAGGCGTCCTATGGCTGTCCCAATGGAGACCTTGGTGACAGGCAAATTCGGAACCGGATGCCGGTCTCTTAGGATCCAGTCTATCTATGTAAACCCTGCTTCGTAAGTTGGCAGAGAGTCCAACACTCGTCCGCATGTGTCCTACTCTCGCAGAGTACAGATTAATGATCCACCATCACTGGTTCACCACAACACCAGTTCCTCTGCGCATTAAAAATGTACTTGTGACGTTCGATGTATTTCCACATTTCTGAGGCTGTAGTCTTCGGTGATAAGGCTACCGAGGAACTTGCCCTCGTCCTGGGTGAGACTAGATCTTACAGTGTTACATGCATGCCTCTTTTTCCCATTGAACTAAAGCGAATGGCGCTACCCAGTCGCCTTTAGAGCAATTTATTCCAGAAAGCCCAATGGTTTGAGGTTAGGCAAGCTCGATCCTCATTGCGCGACAACAGTTACACATACTAATCTCGGCTCCATTT